AGTTTGGAAGAAGCCGCTGATAATACAAACAAACCGACTTGATAGATCACGTAAATCATTTTTCACTGGTCGTTGTTTAGATAGCACCTTCACCTCTACAAGTCTATATCACCTTTCTTTTAAAAGCTTATTTCGTAAAGATTAAAAGACTAAATGGTACTATAAAACTTATATTAATCATTGCTTGGTTGGTCTAACAACGAGATTTTCATGCGAAAATATACGTACGTACCTTTTTGTGGATGAGAAGTAAATCATTACCATCACCGTCTCTGAGAACTAAGTCTCCTCTGGTGCCAAGAACTCCACAGCCGTCGATCTTAAAAACGATCTTCTCTTTGCGATCTGTCACCACAAAGCCACCGCCGTTCACCACGTGTGGCCGCCGTCTCACCACCATCTCCTCCTCCGCCGATGAACAATGCAACTTACTCACCACAGCTTTCATTTTTCTTTATTCTACTAAGAAAGTAAACTCTTGTATTTTGCTTTCTTATATACTCGTATTATGGATTACTTTTTTTCATTTAATTTCTTGACTCTAAAGAAAAGCAAAAGAAGAAGAAATGGTCCACTAAAAATGGTCACTTTTTTCAAATGTTTGGCGACGTATGCTTGACTTTTGACCATCACGTATCAATATAGTTTTTTTTTTTTTTTGGTATTGATCCACTTTCGAGAAAAATATTCTCACTATTTAAAAAACTTAATGTGTACGTTCCAATTATACAGATAATGTAAAATCTGACAATATTTTTAGTATTATCCGGTAAATACCAAAAAGTAGTGAGGGAATTGAATCATAAATCATAGAATGATTCTTGAGTCACAAAAAAATTATATATCAGAAATTGAAGTTCGTTGGTATTTAAATAGAAGCATAAAAATTCGGTGAGGAATGGAATATGTGAGAAATTTAGTGACATGCGAATTCGTGTGGGAGATTGATTACTTGTGAAGGAAGAGGACAATTGTGTGTAAGCCAAAACCCGCTTTTTCATCCTCTTTTATTCTCTCTTTTTACCCATTCTAAAATGAATAGCTTAAGAAAAATATATTTCAGCCTCTAAGTAATTGATTCATGAATGTAATGTAAAACGCTTTTAAATTTCTAAGTGATTCACCTTATAAACTAATTATTGCTTTTTGGATAGAAATTCAAAGATGTACGTTAGTTGTCAATTTAACTTGGCATTGACTTTAGTAAAGGAATATAATGTTTTCTAATTCGCTAGAGGCATTGACTTTAGTTGTCAATTTAACTTGGCATTGACATAAGTCTAGACTCAACACATGAATTATCTGGTTGAAGCGAGGCATGGTGATGCGGACATCGAACCAGCGTTGAACCATGGAGCTAAAGAAGTGTTCCATGAGCTGGAGAACTCTTTTCCTTTCCTTAAAAAAAGAAATAATCAAAAGGAGTTCCAAGAAATCAAAGATAAACCCCCAGATTCACTCGAATGCAAGTACGGTCCAAAAGACGAAGCACACAAGCCCAAAAACAACAAGACCTGTTATGAGTCAACCCATCATATTTTATTGACCCATCAAGGAGTTCATACAACCCTAAGTCATGCCAAGACCGGTTCAAATCAGTCATAAACCGGCAGCTAACTCGAGTGACATTAAACCGATAAAAAAAAATGGGCTTTTCATATTTGGCACCTTGAGGATTCGTGTATGGCATCCAGGAGAGTTTATATTTCTTCTAGAGGTTCTTGCGATGTCATTAAAGTGCACCAGCAAGCATGGGATCAAGTGGATCTCTTCACGCCTCAACTTTCCTTATTTGGAGTCAATTATGTCAAATCTGGTCCGATGGGTATATTCTTTTGATTTTGACATAATTGAGACATTATACACCATTAAGAGATATCCAAGACGTCACTACTTCATGCCCAAGCTGTCCAAATACAAAAAACCTCATTTATCTTTCATTTGGCCAAAATTTAAGCATTAAAGGCTACGTCAATCAAACTTTGATTGTTTTCTGATTTATGTTAAATATTTGATTCATTAGCTACGTAAAAAACGTGTATGAGCTCTATATAAGCTCATTCCTTTCCCTTGTAATACTCACAATGAATTAATAAAAAAAATTTAAGTTTTTTTTGCAAAAGTTTGTTCTTTTGTGTTCTTGTTTACTTTGAGTTGTGTAGATTCACTTCTCTTGTATTCGTGCGAGTTCTTGAGTGTTGTGTTAATTTATTCACTCTTGATTTCGAGTGAGTCTCTGTCTTTGTGTGGAATCACTTAGAGTTAGGCTTGTGATCTCATCACGAAGGCTTTCACACCTTTGTGTGGCTATCTTCGATCCATCTAGCTTGTCAACTCGTGACATCTTGTGATCAATAAGATTTCGTGGATTCCAATCTTATATCACATGGTGAACGAACCGACAAACGAACATATCTAAATAGAATCCAATAACCCAAGAGCAAAGAGGAGAGCCTGAAATTAAGATAGAAACACCAAAAGTATAACCAAATCCAGCTTGAACCACTCAAAATTCAACCAACTAATGATACCAAACCAAGAATAACCAATTGAACCCAAACGGCCAGGGCCGGTCCAGAGGCTAGGCAGGCTAGGCCAACAAAAAAAATATTATTTTATGGGCCACATTTTAATTTTAGGATATTAAATTTATAGGGTTATAAACATTTAAATAGAAATAAATTAATGATTTTTTAGGTTACAAATAAATAATAAAAGTTTTTTGGGCCACAAATACAAGAAAATATATATGAGTTTGTAAAATATATTGTTTTTAAGCTAATACAATATAATTTTTTTTAATAATAGATATTTAAGAGAAATTTTTGTTTTTTTTTTGTTTTGGGCCATCGTTTTTGTTGGACCGGCCCTGCAAACGGTAGAAGAATCTAAGCTAATCTACACCAGAAAATCCCAAGACAAAACTGGAAATCAACACGAACCAAAAACAGCCTTGACCAATCACAACCAGGAAAATCCAAGCGGGAATCATGCCGAGAGAAAGACCATGACCATGACCAGAACAATCCAAACGGGAATCAGCCAAGAGAAGGACAACAAGGACATGAAAACAAAACCGAGAAATCCCAAGAGAGAAAAATAGTTGAATCCACCATCTCCAGCGAGAAATAGCCCGAAAAAGACTCAATATGCAAGATAAGAGAGACTCAACAAGGTCCCAACATGACCGAGAAGTCGCAAGGATAGACGGAGGAGTACAACACCATAATTCTAATTTTTCCCACCCCAGAAAACAAGATCGCCTCAAGCCTCATAAATCTCAAACATCAAGGAGATGAGAGATCGAACTCAACTCTGAAGCTAGCACAAGCAAGACAAGCAGACATCTATCACCATTTTATATTTCATATTATATTTCTTATCATCATTTTATAGCAAAATATATAATGTCATGGTTTATAAATATAAATTTTATCACTATAATATCATAATATTTTAGGCAACATAAACACTATTCTCTATGGTCTATTGAAACCTAGTATCTAAACACCGTGTAAATGAATGTATAAAACGCTTTTTAGGGCATCTCCAACTATCGTACTAAATTTGGTGTGATTTTTACACGAAATTTGGTGTTTTGGTGTCAAAAACTTTTCCATCTCCAACCATAACACCAAATTTCACACTAAAAATATATTCTCTATTATTATATTATTAACTTTAAGATTTTCTATATTTTTAATAATATAATAAATACTAATTATTCTGATAACGGA